CTGAGTGCCCTAGCAAGGGAAATGCTAGGGAAGGAGGGGGAGTTATCTGAGTTTGTGCTCCACACCCCTCAAGTTTCCCCTAGAGCCAGGTCTCCTTCCCCAGAAGGCACTTTGGAGGAGGTTGAGGTAGCAGTTGTGGAGGCAAGTGGCTCAGCTGAGTCTGCTTCTCCTGCTTCTCCTGTTGCCTCCGCCTGCTAAGGAGAGGCGAAAGGCAGCATCCACACATGCACCCACTCCTCAGAAGTGAGGAAGAAGTGTGGTCCGGATCATCTGCCATTTTGAGCTGGCAGATGATCCCACATATAATATTGGCCTGAACTGCGAAGCCAAAACCAGGTGAGGCAAGGGAACAAAACACATGAGCACCACAGAGATGCTGATGCATCTATGCAAGCACCTCCCCTTGCCCTTGCTCCTCCTTAGCCTTGCACCCATGGGAGTGTGCCCAAAAAGAAGTCCCCCTCTTGCTCCAAAGCCACCATCCCCAAGAAGCAGAGCTAGGCCACCCTGGAACAGTGGAGGAAAGGTAGGCACACAGTGGGGCATGTTCCCAAGGCAAGCAAGGTCACCCAGAGCATTGAGGAGATGCTTGCTGTGGATGTCCAGCCCTTTTCCAATGAAAATGAAAATGGAGGCATCAGGGTGACAGACAGGCTGGGGTGGGGGGAAAGGGGGATGTAGCAGGTAGAAATGGAGAGGTACCTGGGGAGTCAGATGTGCAGCAGGTTGTAGTGTGTCAGAATTCCTATGTCTATATTGAGTCCATGAGTTTCTGTATCCAGGAGCTTGACGAAGTGAAGTTCATAGGCTCTTCTCCACTTTTACCTGTGCTGCTACATCCCCCCTACCCCCTCTGTCCCCCAGCCTGTCCCTCACCCCCTGATGCCTCCATTTCCATTTTCACTTACCGGCTTTCTTGCCTGCATTGCATGCCAGCCTCTGGCTTCTTTACTATTCCTTCCATCCAGGAACAGCACAAACACCAACTGCAGGTGCTTCCTCAGCCCAATGAAGGGTTTTTTTCAACCTGAAAGCTCGCTAAGATATATTTCTCCCAAGTATTCAGTCTATCTACTAAAAGATATCAAATTGACCCAAATAACCTTGTCTGCCAGTGCCATGTCCTTAGATCAACACTGCTACAACCTACACCCCTAGCACCTGCCCCTGGTCAGCTGACCGGAAGAAGGCAGGGCCATGGGCACATCTAAGCCCCAGGGCTGGGGCTGGCAGGAAGAGTTCTCTGGCAGCCACTGGATAAGAAGCTCCTGCAAAAAAGGAAAGAAAGGCTCTGTGACATTTTGGCTGCCTGAGATGCTAGTGCTACAGTGCTGCTTATTTCATAGTTTCATAGTTTCATAGTTTCTAGGGTCAG